ATAAAAAGATTAAACATAAATATATTAATAAAATTATACAAAAAAAGGAAATGATATATGTATATGTTTCTCATGTGTGCGTGCGTGTGTGTGTCTACATTATTATTATATTTTTTCTATATAAATCGATTTTTTTATATAATTTAAGTTTTTTATAAAATAAAATGTCGGTAAGATAGCTGATTATCTTATCTGTAATTATCGATATTGTTATAATTACCGACATTACCGACGTTAAAAATTTTTTAATCGTCGATTTGTAACGGTGTAACATTCTGCTAATTGCTAAAATTTAAACTCCCAGGAATAGTAATATAAAAATATATATATAATTAATTAAAAGATGCTATTTGTCTTAAAATCCCAACAATTTTAAGTCTAACCGCGTTTAAAATGCAAAGTTTTGGAAATTCAAACATCATAAAAATATGAAGGAAAAAATAATAACCAGACAGCACATCTAGTGTAAACAAAAAAAAATTCCAAGCAATTGCAATTTTGAAAACTATACTTATTATAAATTCTATTTCGTTATCTATGTTCAGTATGAACAATTATGTCAACACGGTGCACAGTCATGATACATAAATATTTACATATAACGCGCACACTCCGTACGCCTACAATTGGTCATTGGTGCAACTTCATATCAATGCCGATGGCCGAGGCGGTCTGTGTCTACCTGGGACACAAACGGTATATTGAGGTTAACAGAAATCGTATGCAGTCGTATGCGTGAACGAATCGCAAGAGAGTTCCACGACTGAGGCTCAATAATTTCAAATTTCGAAAGTTTACATCCGGCGGACAGAATCGATGCTGTCGCAGCGCCCGTTACGTTCGTGGCGCAAAACGGGCTCGTGTAATAGTTCGTGACGTGTCTTTACTGGAGTTGTTCATTGTTTGGCAGGTGTGAATCAGCTGTGTGATCCTCCGTACACACATCACAATATTTTGTAATCGCGTCCTGGACCGTATTGTAAACGAGATGTCTTCTTCCGTTGAAAGTGCCTCGATTACGAATAAATTTGTTTTCTTTCAAGCTACACGATGATTCCATTTAACCCAATTCCTCCGCGTGTGATTATCGTACGAGTAAACTATAACATTGATGATATAATACAGTTTTTCTCAATTTTACGTCAGTAGAATTTTTCAATAATTTCAGACATGTCTCTCGTACGACTGATGTTCCTATAAATTGTTTCTCGTTGATCTATTACACTAAAAGTAACGATCTATTACACTAAAAGTCAACCTTTTTTTTACATCTCTCTCTATATGTCTATTTTTCGTTGGACATAATTTTTCTAAATATGCAAAATTTTTTTTTGTGTTTTACTTTTTTATTTAATTTGTACGTTATGATATGAACAGTATCATTTTTTAAATCTATAATTTAATATACAATGATCTATATAACTATACAGAGTTTACATACAATGATCTGTATAACTATACAGAGTTCATTTTATAATTTTCAGACAAATTTACATGTTTATATCAAGATATACTACAATATTTACTCCAAATTGTTGCCTGATACTTTATTGAACACAAAGAAATGGTATAAATCACATAACAATATGTCATTATTATGAGGAAGCAAAGAAGGAGTTTTTGATAAGACAATTAATGACATCTTTAATTAAGGGAATTATAAAAATATGCTACATATTCTCTACCAAGCACAATGTTTAAATTGGAGTCCTACATAACACCAGTAATTCTCAGTTATGTAGAAAAATATGTAAAAAATTTTAAACCAGAACAGTCACAGGTAAAATATATATACATACATTGGAAAATGTTGCTGTATTAATTTTATTGGAAATTGTATTTGTGTGTGTGTGTTAAAAGTTCATATTTTCTTTTATTCCATATCAATGATTTTGAGGAAGTAAGGATAAATAAATGTGACTAAAATAATTGTGTTGTTTCTAAACATAAAGCTGTGGTTGCTTGTTCCAAAGTATCAAATAAATAAATAATATATTATGCATACTTAATGATATGATTTCTAACACAAAATAATTCTTCAAGATATTTTAGAAAAAGAAACGTTTCTTGCAGGTATCTTTATGGGGTGGAGATGCATCGTTTCAGAATTTGGATCTACGATTAGAGGTATTGGAGGAGCAACTGAATCTTCCATTCGTCTTTGTTAGTGGCCATATACACGAATTGTTAATACATGTTCCTTGGGTAAAAATTACGTCTGAACCAATAGTTGTTACTATTAATACTATAGGTAAATAATAATATTATAATATCATTTAATAAATTAGAAGCATTTTTTTCAAGATAATATTGATATACTGCCTGTTTTATAGAGTGCATTTTAAAATTAAAAGATGAAAATACCATAGAAAGCAATACAACGACGTTACAAAAGAAGAAGGAGATAGTGCAGTAAGTATTGTTTTTCACAATCTAAGTTGTATGAAATTTTGTTTAGTTATTATTAGTAATTATTAGTATTATTTATTAACTGTATTTTTATTTATTTATCTGATAGTTATTAATATTTATTTAGTATCATAAAATATATACATATTATAACACTTTTAATTTTTCATTGTAGAGAAGAAGCTCCACCTGGGTATATAAAGAGTGTAGTTACGAAAGTTATTAATAATATCACCATTCATTGCAACAATCTCATTTTAAAATATGTGGAAGAGGATATTGTTCTTAGCATAAATGTCAGATTTTTAAGTATGCAAACCGTCGACAATAAATGGGAACCAGCGTTTGCTGGTAAATATTTTTATGCATAATCACAAAGCCAGAAATTGTCTTAAAATTACACTTATAATTAAAATATTTTAATAAATTCAATTAATGTTTAGAGGTCAACACTCAAGAAGTGATGCTTAGAAAAGTTATTACTATTCAAGACTTGACATTGTGCTTAGATAAAATGGATGCATCAGGAAAGATAGAGATATATCAGGTATTTCTAAGATATATTTTTACATTTATGTGAGAAATCTTGAAGATATAGAAAATATTTTATATTGAAAAAATATTGCGTAATTTCGATATTTTGCATAATGTAAATATTAATATTACAGGATCCTGTTTTGTATCGATGTTCAATGACAATCCGAATGATTATAAATTATCATAACAACACTTTAAAGAGAGCATCTATTACGAGACTTGATCTTCATTGTGAGAAAATGGAATTTAGCATGACTGAACAACAAGTACCGATGCTCCTAAGATTGATTGCCTTAGTAATGGCGTTACAAACAAAGCAATTTCCACCAATAAAGGAAAAATCCTCCATTATTGTGGATGAGAGAGAAGATGTTGTACAAGGTTTAATATTACTTGAATACTGTCTGAAATATGTATTTTGGGAATATATATGATATATAACATTTCAGATGATACAAATCAGGTAGCAGGGACTTCCACAGATGCAGTTGGATGGGGTGGTTGGGCTTGGGATATAATTTCATCTGTTCTACCTGTCTACTGGGACAATAATTGGTCTGCTGAGCAACAAATGGCATATTCTGGTCATACTATACATTTAGGTGTTTATATAGATGATGCTACTTTAACATTTAAGGTATAAATGTAGTATACTTCAGAATTGTTTCTGTTCTAATCATGGAAATAAAAAACTAAATTTTATACATTTTTACAGACTGTTGAAAGTGTCAAAGAGCAATTATTTTATAAATCTCGAAAACTTAGGTACAAATCCTTTTTATCACTTCGATTAAACGGAGTTGTGACAGATACTTTAATTCAAGGAATAACAATGACAACTTTCCAAGTTGGAGTGGCGTGTGTACAACTTTATCCACGAGGAACATGCAGCTGTGGACATATAGAAGTAGCTGATGGTGTACAGGTAATGTAATTAATTATTATTATCAGAAAGATATAAAATTAGATGAATATCTGAGAACTAAATTATTATTATAGCCACCTCTTTACGTAATAGCTGGGAACTTGAATACTGACCACTTAAAAGATTCATTGTTTGACAAAGAAGCCACGGAAAATAAAGGGAAAAAAAGAGATTATAAGCAAGGAATAGATCATTACTTGACGACAATTTCGGGTATAATATAATATATTTAAAACATATACACGTCTTATACACAAGAAATAATAAAGATTATATCTTTTTTAGTTGACAAATTATTAGAAAGATGTCCAGCATTTGTGATGGATTATGTTTATTACGTAGAATTACCTGACGATATAACGCCTGAAAAATTACTCGAATTTGGTTCAAATTTTGAATACAGGTGTTTGAAAAATCTTAAAATAATTATATATAAAAGAATAAAAGAATTTCTATAAACAACTTATCTTTTGTAGCAATTTCCAGGAACGCAGAGTAATAAGATATGTAACTGGAGATTTGACAATCAGATTATGTTCCGGTATTTTTCATCGTATTGATACCATCAAACAAGCTGCCGCAAAATATGATTATAATCCTTATCTTGTAATGAAACCAGGTAAATACAATGCAGTGCTAGTACACATGCATTTTGATTTAACTATTAATCTTATATTAAATAAAAAATTGCAAGTAGATGCGCTACATTAAAATTTATATTTTAGATCCTCTTATTGATGAATTGCCTCTTGTTACATTGGAAGAATATGAAGCACTTAAAGAAAACATATCAATGATAGAAACAAAATTTGTATTAAAAAGGGCGTCACTACAGTTACAATTAGCAGATCATTGTGTCATTGGAGTGCCACGACAACGTAAAATTATTGAAACTCGAGTAAGATATCTCTTATACCTTTTTTTTGTTAATTATTTTAGACATTTATAAATAATGCCTTTCTAGATTATACCTCCATTACCTCCAGCTCTAACAGATGATCCTTATGTAAGCGTTGAATGCGATGAAGCAATTGCCACTATAGTACAGCCTATGTATCCGTTTAGACTCGTAGCTTGTGCATCAAAATTAACAGAACTGTCACCAGAAATGTTCATTCAGTGCCATGCGGTTACTGATATACAAGTGAGCAAAGTTTTATGCACAATATTTATCATACACACATTCAAGATTGATATTGAAATATTTGTAGGTGATTGGAGTGAAAAGTCAACTTCACTTAATGAAAACTTGCGACACTTTAATAGTAATGCCTCACTCAGTGAAAACTTCCTCAAAAATATTATTATATCCTCAGTATTGGCGAGATATAGACATGATTCAAAAGGCATATTCCTTTCAATCAGATAGTGTTACTATCACGGGAACTAAAGCAAAATTAATGGCTGTTGCGGCTATAATAACTTCCATTTTTAATCCTGCAGATACAACGAATCCACTTGTCTGTTCTACTCTCTTTAATGATGCGTGTCAAGAGAAATGTATGCGAGTATTAAATACTATATTTTATTATTTTATAAATTTTTATTTTTTATTTTATAAAATATATAAAAGCTACAAAATTTTCTTCGTATATTACAGGTCCAGTGTACTTAGAATTATGCTTAGAAAATATAAATTACAAGAATGTATCGTCTTCAGTTACGATATCAAACGAAGTCAATATAAGTTCTATAAAAATATTTGCATTCAATGATTCTCAACAAGCCTTTATTCTTTCGGGGCCAGAAAATCATGATAGCAGGTTTGCATATATGTATATTAATAATATAGTTTTGATGGTTTGGTAAATTTTGACTAATTCTTTATATTCTTAGTGATGCAGGAAATGTACCGCTGTTGTCTATTGTAATACAGTTTCCTAAAAGTATTGAAACGCAAACACATCCATCTCTCGTTTCATTTAAAATTTCTGAAATTAGAGCATCCCTAGACCCACTTTTTTTTGAATGGTTGGAATATTGTGCCACTTATCACAAATTGGGAAATGTATATGTATTGCGTTCAGACAGCCAACAATTGATTACTGAAGGTACATCATCTGATACAGGCACACGAAAAAAGACATTTCCGAGTCTACATGAAAGCGTGCATAGTTCGTCGGACAAAGAGAAAAAAAGATCAGCCGTAACAGAAAAATCGAAAACACTACGAAATGATGAAATACAAAAGAAAAATGAATTTAAAACGGAAGGAGAACAGCAGGTATTATTTATAATTATCATTTATATATCATCACATAACGATTGTATCGCGATTGATTACTGTTTAAATTGATTAAAAAAAACCATTTTTTTAAAACAGTATGGTATATTGTATGTATTAAAGATAGAAATAAATAGTCTAGTACTTACAGAAATCGGGGATACTGGTCAGATTAGCAGAGTCGTATTCGTGGTGGTGCAGTCTTGTGCTGAATGGTTATATAGGACATATTATAATATATATTCCGTCTGATACAATGAGTGGTATTGGAGCTGATGGTAAATATTTTAATTATATGCCAAATAACGTAGAAATTGAATTATTTCTAAATTTGTTCATAATCTTGTTATTGCTTTTTGATAACTATTAATACAGTTATAACTTATAATAACAATTAATAAAATGTATTACAAGGCATAGAACAAGCCAAAGATAGAGCTTTCATAGAAAATCAAGATCTACAAATAATGATAATAAAACTACCGAGTCTTCTCATACATTCATCTAATCTGAATACTGAGATATTGAACTCATATCTACAAAATCTTCCTGCTAAATTACCAGAATCTATATGGACATATCGTAAGTTTATCTAGAATTTGCAAAAAAAGTTATTATTTTACAATAAAAACTACTACAATTTATTACTATTTCAGAAATGCAAAGTTTTCCATGGACATTGAGTCTTATCGATTTTCATTGTTACACATTGCAACAACAAACACAAAAGAACTTTATAAAGAAAGTTACATTAAATGCTACGGTAGCTCTTACAACTAAGACAGCTGCGACTGAATTAAATACACTTACTGCTTTAAGTGCTTGTGTACACATTGATAATTCGCCTATCATTATTTCATTTTCGGAGGATCAGGTATTAATTTTTGTTTATTCTTACCGTGCTTTATATCAAGTGCAACAAAATTTGTATTAAAAAGAATATAAATTTCTACATACATTTATATATCTCAGGTTATTTTTATGAGCAGTATAGTTTTAAATATCATCAAAATATTACAAACTTTTTGCGGCTCCCGGAAAGACAACGTAATTGTACCACAGAGCAACGAAATGCAAATTGTTCTTCCTGCTATACCTCAAACTCCGTCCACTCCGACCCAAATAATGTATCAAGAAGATACTAATTCAACTATGTCTACATCAAAAGATGATTTAGGACATGGTAAGTATTTATGGAATGTATTTATTTGTTGTATTTATTTTGTCACTACTACTCAAGTTTTACAGAAAAAGATGGTTTAGTTGTAACGGCATGGATTCAGTGGACTATAACAAAAGTAGCAATTAAATTATACATTATGGGACGAGAAGACACGCCTTCTTTAAAATTAGTGTTAGAACTGGAAGATATTATAACATCATTAGATTTACAATCGGTTTATATGCAGTTAAAAAATAAAATTACAACAGCCACGATATTTCATTATGTTAGGTAAATTTATTTCTATAAAATGTTTATACATATATTAAAGTCTTAGCAAGAAATATTTTAAATAACATTTCTATTATGTGCAATGATTGTTTAATTGTTACATTTACATTGTGATTTGATAGAGGTCCACATGCATTAAATTGGGATGTTGGTGAATATGCTGGGCTAGTACTCTGCGGAAGAGAAGATAATTTGGAGAAAGGTGATGATTCTGGTTTTGTAAGTTTTACACTTACTCGTGCAAAATCTGGAAATGTATACACACGTTGGGGTACTCACAAACGTTACAAGCCTCAAAAGGTAAAATAAGTATTTAATTATTATATCTAGTTACCCATATAATTATTCACATTCTTGTTTAAATTATAATGTAGAATATTAATATCCTATTTATTTTTGAAATTAATAAAAACTCTGATACTCGAATATCTAGAAAGAAATGCTGCTTGACTCTACGTTATCTACGAACGGCTACATTTCTGAAATACTTATCAAAATGCAAATGGTCGATATAATCTTACCAATAAGTGTAATTAGCAAATATGCTGAATTGATGAAACCTTTTACGTGCCTTGGTTCATCTATTGAGAAAAACACAGAATCTATTTGTAATAAAAACATGGCAACACCATTAGTTGGTGTAACCAACTTAAATAATGAATTATTGCCACTGATACATTTGGAATTCAAAGGTTTTCGTCTCATGATGCCAGCTTTTACTGATACGAATAAGTTACAACATGATTTATTAATGCTTCAGGTAAACTATTTTGCTTTTTGTATAATTTTATTAGCAATATAATATTTAAAAAAATATAATATTTACATGGATATTATATATTATATAGTTGGACGGGATTCGTATTACGCCAGATGCAGAAAATCCAATTTGTAGAACTCCATTGCGAACTGATATATATCAATTGGCTGCTCGAGCAAATATATTAAACGTACCAGGTTCAGCTGTAGAAGATCGTCAGTATCAAATTAGTGTTAAAGGAGTATGTGCATATACCACTACATGGAAGAATTATCAACTAAGCATTAATAAGGTTTACTATCAAAACTTGCTTTCTTTTAAATCTAGAAATTCTTAGGAAATATTTTATATATTAACTAAAAATAAACAAAATTTATTAAAACGTTAATACTATATAGATTAATTAGATTAATTAAAGCAATGGATTATTATTTTTAGAGAATGTCTCAATCGTACTTATATACAATGAACGAGAATCCAGCATTGGAATGGAATAAGCTCGGGAATGGTAGTAGTCTAGATCCATACTTTTCAACATCTCCAGTATTAACAAAGTAATGCAATTGATACATTAATTAATATATACGTGTATAAATCTATAATTAATTAATTAATTAATTAATATATATGTGTATAAATCTATATGACAACCGTATCCTAATTTTAATATTTAATTCTAGATTTGACCTTAGCTTAATTATTGCCCCAGCTGTCACATTTAAAGGAGACACAATAGTCTGTGGGAGTGCCGTTGAAGTAAATTGTATTACAGACATAGAATTGACAATAAATTTGGATCAAATTAAATTAATATCAACGCTCAACAATGAATTTGTAACGTTACTATCTGGAAGTTTCGAAAGAATAGATGATAAAAATAGTTTTAATAATATAGCTCAAAGATCTCTTTCAGGATCTCAAAGCATTAAGCCTATTAAAGCCTGGTTGAAACAAACATCAGATGATTCAGATATTGATTTCACAAAAGACAGTGGTGTCGATTTTGAAATGTCCAGCATGCATTCAACAATAATTGTAAGTTTTTTATGCATGTAAATAGCGGTTTGTGATTTTGAGTTTATAATTTATATTAAAAATAATAATTCTATTATGATAGGGAAGACCCACTGCTGAAACTATGATACTTCCACCATTTGAATTTTTAGTAAATTGTGGAAAAGTAACATTTATTCTGTATGAAGTCCAGAGTACATTTGTTGATTTAGAGGATAATGTAGTGAGTAATAAATAATATATTTCAAGTAAAATAATTAATTCAATTATTTAATTGGAATTAATTTATTTAATTATAGTATTAACCCGTACAAGATACAATTTGGTGTACTTATTTATACAAATGGGAGATTACTAGATCCGTCTATTTTTTTCACCTATTCAGATTGATTCAAAAAATTTCTAAAAATTTACTAATAACTTTTTAAAATAAATATTAAAACTTTATTTTGGAAAATAATAAAATATAGTATAATTACCGAAAAACTCAAAGAAATTTGTACGAACAGAAATTGCTCGATCACTAGTCATCCATCTTGTACAGTACGGGTTAATATTATCTAATTTTTAAATATAATTAATATTTTCAGGATACACACAAAACTGACGGTGAAGACGATAATAATAATGTAAAACAACCATTACTTTATCTAATGATCAATCAACCAAATATTTATTTCTCTCAGCAACATTTATCTAAAAAAATACAAGTATGCCTTATTATTATTTACTCACAAAAAATTGTTGTTTAATATTAATATGATTATTGTATATATTAATTGACTATTACTGGTTTAAATATTTTATTTGAATTATGCAATTTGTAGATATCTTGTTTCGATATAACAACAGCACTTGGCAATGTACAAAATCTAAACGCAATACCGACCGAAAAAGATTTCAAAATTTATATGATAGAAACAAAACATGGTGATCCACATCCAGATACGGGTATCCCGCCTTCTTTTGCGACAGTAAAATCTGAAATGATTTTAGGCAAAAACCGCCAGTTTTTCATTGAAATGGGACGACCGACAAAAGTACATCTTTCTTTATCTCGGCTTAACCAACTCTATGATATACGGAATAAGGTAACTTAACAAAGAATGTATAACATTTATGTATTCAACAGTTCTACAGTTGTATTTATATTCTAGCTAGTATCGTGTTTTATTGATGACAATGTTACACAAGTATCTACAGAGGAACAGGAGATTGTGCATACGGATTCTCAAAATTTAGTATCGTTGACAAAATCGAGGAAATTCAGTGTACCTGATCTACATTTAAATACTAAACAAATTGTATTATCTTTAAAGACTGACACTGGAGCAGAAATTATTATTAGTTTAGCATCGTTAAATGGAAACCTGTCGACACTTCTCAGACCAGACAGGATATATTCAAATCTGTCCATAGATTCTTTCATTGTATCTGCTATCTTAAATGGGAATATCAAAGTACTATTAAACCCATGGTGTTGCAATGTAACGACTTGTTTACTTTGGGAATCTTCGTACAATAGCGAGATTATTCCACAAATACAAATACAGGCAGACAGTGAGAGCCTATATCTAGATTTTGGACCGGATCAAATAAAAATTATGAAAATGATTATGCAGGACTGCCAGTTGCTCTTAAGCGAGCTTGCTTCGGTTTCTACGAATGAAAATAAAAATGAAAAGCAAATTGTGTTATCGACTGAACAACACTACAAGGATGATCTAAAGGCGGGTGCATTCCAATTCGTTGATGGCACTGCGGATGAGTTACCTTTTCCGTATCAAGTTAGTTAAATTACATTAAAGTCATAAATATAATTGAAATCAAAAAGTCTTAATCTTTTTTTTTTGGCAGGTGGTATTTTTTGTTTATCCTCAACAAGCGATGGCTTGGAGATATCCGCAATCGCGTATGTTAACAAGGATACATATATCTCCTGTTCCATTTGAAGTAAGTGAGAATCTTAAGCTCGGTATCTTAAGTGAATAATATTAATATTTTGAATACAAAAAGACAAATGTTTTATGTCGGAAAATATAATTTTGTTTAAATGTCTAAAGATATTTTTTTCTAATTTTAAGCATGAAATAGTACAACCTTGGCTGTAAAAATATTAAGCACTTATATTTTTTTTATTGATTTAAAATTCTTTTGCCTGTATTGTTTCCTAGTAATTATCGACATTATACATAAGTTTAAAAGATTCTTGAAACAACGGATAATTTAGCAAATGCCGTAAATCAATTTTTAAATTAAAATGTTAAATAATGGGTAATAAGATACATAATATTTTTGGCCACGATTATATTTTTATTTTCTTAATTCTTTCTGTTATAGGCAGTGGATGCCGACGGTGATTACATCGACAAAATTCCTTGCGTTCTCGAATATTGGAGTGATAGTCACATGTCATACCAGCGTTACGCCGATTTTTATTTATCGGAAACCGATTCCTATCGATTGGATCTACCGGAGAAAGCACCGGCACGAGCAGTAGCTTGCGTGTGGCGCGTAGTTATCCTGTCTAACGGCAAACGACCACTCTCAAAAAGCATCGTTTCCGCTCGTGCTCTCGCTGCCTGCTTGCGCATCGACTCCTACTTTAATCCCTTATTAATACCGAATATTCAAATTGCTTTAAATATCGGCGTTCTCCATGTATCTCTGTACAATCACATCGATACAAGTGTATATAATAATTTGCCGCCACCACTGGATAAGTATACTCTAAACGGAAAAATTCCCGAAATACAATGTTTCATGTCCGTAGAACAGAAGGGAGCTGTTCTGGTATTTAACAAATGGATAGATGATTCTATACTGCTCGACATCGGCGGTAGTTTAAGCGTACACGTGTTGGATTATAGTCATTTGACTATGCAGGAAGTGCTAGATGCCTTGGAAGGAAGATTTCAGTTATCGTTATCGGAAAAGATAGACTCGTCATTAACGTGCAATCCGTTTACATTAAAATTGGGACCAGCGATAACTCACACTCTTGCAGTTTCTACTCGTTTATGGCTGGCATCTTTCGACGAAGAAGAAAAGAGCGTAATTGTCCTAACACGTTACGTAATAGCCAACGATAGCAACATACCTATACGTTTTGGTCAAAGTGGCACTGGAGATAGCATACTTCTCGAGAGCAGGCAATGTAATTTTTATTCTTGGAGACAGATTGGCAATCAAATGATAAGGATATCAATTGAGGAGAACGCCTGGATATGGAGCCGGTCTTTTCCCGTTAACAAGGATGGAGTCCAAGTGATAGAATTCAATAATTCAATGATTAGTACGGTGGTCTTCGTAAACGTTACGTCGCTTTCTGCCACACAAAAGCTTGTAACATTCTCGGGGCAACTTGTGATTTCCAATCAACTAATGGATAATTTCGAGATGAGATTAGTAAAATACGAAGAAGTTGGCTCTAAGGTAATAGTCTCCAAGAAAGTGTATACCATACCGGGCAAGAGTTTTCCGTCGTCTATCATGCTTGAGAGTAACAAAAAAATGGCAATGCGGTTACGTTTCACCAACTTGACGCATTTATCTTGGACCGGGGACATTCCATTGCAACCCAATATCAAATGGGGCCAGCCGTGGCTCGTCAAAGTACCTCTACAAGAACGCGGTCAATTTTTGAGTATCTGGGTACGGATTGTGATGCAGATGATACAAGACAAAATGAAAATCCTTGCAGTATTGAGTCCCCTGTACATGATCAGATCACACCTACCAGTACCAGCCAGAGTACAGATGGAAACACCGTCTCTGAAGATGTCATCTTGCACAATGGTGAACGGTCGTGGCGAATGTCAACAGCTGTACTGCCCCGGTACATTTGAGCACTTCCACCAGCTGACGTTTCAATTGGAATCCGGAGTCTCCGCGTCGAATCCTTATGTGCCGCTTTCGTACAGTTCCGTGGATCAACGAAAATTTTTCCGAAGACCTGACGTTGAGGATATCGATAAAATTCTGCAAGAACTCAAGGACAGAAAAGATCAAGTAAAATGGCCTTTCCAAGGAGACGATATTGAGGAATGGATATCTGCAGAACAGCCGCAGACGCATGTACAAGTGAAATATCAGGACGCAGGATTGGTCTCCAGCACTCTGCTGCTAGAACTGCAGCCTTGGTGTTTTGTAATGAATTCGTTAGGCTGTCACATCTCATTGGTGTCAGAGGATACAGAGCTCTGTCAGATTCCTCACTACGGCATAGTCACGCCACCCAAATTGGAGAATACCTTTCACGTGGGTGTCGGAATCGGCGATACTTACTACACATCCCAAACGTTGCAATTGGCACGACCCGACTGGAGCCAGAGCTTTTATATGCCTCGAATCTGCGGTTTCGTGCCGGTAGAGGGGAACATCAAGACATTCGTGGATTGCGGCACGAGTGTGTCCATCCTAAACATCGGTTCTTCGATGCACGAAGATATGCGTCTAGTGCGGATCACAAGCAGCCACGTGATCGCGAATCTGACACCTCAAGAATTGTGCGTGGCCACGCTCGCGGTGCACGAGGAAGCGCGGAATCTCCAGTTGCCCCATGATCTCACTCCCTGCAGCCTGAATATCTCACCGTCCGAGGATCAGAGACAGGGTACGCCGATCGTGCAATGGTATACCTTGTACACGGAGAGTAACGTCGAGCCGCTCGTATTGTACATATCTCTTAGTCTCGGCCACAGATGGTCCTGTCCGATCAGAGTGGATCAAGTTATGAGCCGCAAATCCGTCGTGATTCCAAACGGTTGTTCCACTATGCCGGTCATTGTAACGACGCAGGAAGACAAAGGCACCACGTTCGTCGTGATACACAGCGATGATCATCCGCAACTGTTAATTGAGAACGCCTGCGGCTTCAAAATCTTGCTGGGACAAGCCGATGAAAAAGGGAATGAGATATTACCGGATAGCGTTCATTTTACATGGATATGCGAAGTCGACAGTGGAGCAACGTCCCACTATTCTCTTCCCTGTGTCAGTAACAGACTACCCGACACTACGGTTCCAAGCGCATCGAATGTGTTATTTTCTACCGCGCAAAACGATGAAGCAATAGGGAAAGCAAATTTAAAGTGGTCAAGAGGCGTAAATCTGTCCGCATTGTCATCTACACCAATAGATCAGTACCTGCGATTACCTTCGTATGGTGATGTAAAGCTTATAATGTATAATCGCTGCTATACCACTCACATAAGCATCGTGCCTATTTCCCAAATTGAAATATCAGCTCAAGACATTAGGAGCAGATTGTTACGAAAAAAGAGCACAGCGAAGGATCACGACACCATATACAATAATCCTCCTTCATTGAAGAGACTAGAAGAAGATAAACTGTTACTGTATGTACAAAGTTCGAGTAGCTCAACATCATTAACGAGCTTTTTCTCAGCTCAAGAAGATATTTTGACGACGGAACAAATGCCCTTGAACAATGCAAAGCAATTAGTTCCTAAGATAACGGATACAAAAACTTGCACTAACGAAGATCGGTTGAAATCTATCGATGACACTAATTCAACTCATTCGAAGGAAGGTTCTGCAATCGTTTACTTGCGTGCTTGCACTATCGTTATCCTTCATGATATTAATGAAAACGCACAAAGAATCGAAGTCGCCAGTCTATCTATGACAGATTTAGTTACGACTATAAATTCAAAAGCCAGATTTATTAATTTCGATTGTTACATAGGCGACTTACAATTAGATAATCAATTATTTGATCAGGGAGGTTTCGATTTCCCCGTAGTATTAATAAATCAAAATCCATTGCCCAATAGAGAAATGGCATTTTACAGCAATAACTGTTTAATGACGAATATGGAAAAAATCAAACAAGATTCTTTAATAACCATCGAGTACGTCTGGGAAATAAATGAAAATATCATAGGTATATATTTTATATTTACAAAATTACATTATTTTAATAAAAAAATAAATATTTGGGTAACAAAAATTATGTTTTTAAACAGATAAATGTTATTT